AAGAGCAAAGCATTGTAATTCGATAATAAGGTAAGTAAGAGTACTACATCCATACATAGTAGATACATATATAGAGGCTAACCAAATATATTTGTAATGCAATCCTAAGCGATAAATGCTATCAATTAAGTGCCTATGTATATTTGTATTCATTGCTTTTATCTTGCTTCTCTAGATTTACACCCGAGGCCGCACCATTGCCACCAGTACCGAATTGGTTGCAAGTGGTAATGCGCAGCAAGATGAATACAAACGCCACAGCTTCGTCCTTGGATGTGGCTCTCAATGGGAACAATGTAGTTACAACATCAACAACAACAACAGCAACTGCAAATGAAAGGTATGTAGGTGAATAGTTTAAGAAAACTAAAAGCTAAAGTAGAGAGAGACATACAAGTGTCTGAGGCTTTAATTATGCTAGATTTCCATAGGGCCTTGAATGACAGATATTTTAGTGACAAAGTTGGTCATTAAAAAGACCCGTGGCATTTCGTTCAAAAAATAGTTATTAAACAGCTTTCCACACGACATTTATTAAATGGCACAAATATCTTGGCATTTTAATGTCTAGTGGAAACTCGGCATTACACACAAATATGTATTTACTTAGCCATAAAAAAATTACGCCGTTTTCTATGCAAAAGGCTATAAGGGACATTTTTCTGGACTGAGTTCATCGAACTGTTCCGTGAGTTTGCGCTCAGACACACGTCCGCTCACGAAGAGGAGTCTTAATGACCTTTGTCGTACATATTTTAAATAGAGTCTGGAAAGCATTTTCTAAGGGTATGTGCACACAGGCAGCAGGACCGTGCCGAGCGAAGCCGCTGAGAGCGGTGCGCAGCTTTCAAATTTAACTCAATGAGAGTGTTCAAACAGCAAGCTTTTACAGAAGCGCTTTGGAATCGAAAGTTCTGAAATCTCTATTTGTTTTTTCAGCGTTTTGTCGCTGCTATGAATAAAAAATTCAAATCTTTTTTTGAAATAAATCTTTTCGAGCAAAATAAACAAACATTTTAGGCACTTTTAATTGCTGGTAGGTTTTGTGGTATATATACATATTTGTAGCCGATTAAAAATGTATATCGAAATTATCAGAATGACGAATCGATTTAGCCATGTCCGTCTGCCTGTTTGAAACTAGTTTTCCTGCTATCCGATCAAAATTTGGCTGTGTTTTTTTAATGTTTTAATCATTTACATAGCTCCCATGCAACAAACTTTTCAGATAAGAGTGTTTTCGTTATAACTCCTCCACTTAGGCAGCTAGGGACATGCAATTTTGTACTCCTTTCCCTCATAATCAACTAAGAGCTTACAGTGAAACTCATCAAGTTCGGGCTACAATAATTTATTGCTCCTACTAATTGTTCAGATATGAGTTTTTGTGTTACAACTCATCCATTTAAGTGGACAAGGACCTCCAACCAAACAACCAACATATACACCCTAAGTAAACTTATAAAGCTTTCCCTTGGCTTTTCGAACTGTATGAAAGTTTCGACTAATTGACCCTGTGATTTTGCGACAAGTAGCGAATTCTCCAACACCTTTTGTTAATTTGTGTAACTCAGTCGAAATTTTGTTGGTTTTGCCAGCTAAGCTTTTTTAAAAATTATATTTTTAAATATTAAATAAAAAAAAAAAATTTCCTTTTTTTCAAGGATACGCGCTTACTTTAATGCTTTTGAACAAGCATACACAATGACATAAATAACATTTTTAAGATGATAAAAATGGGGTGGAATATACAGAAATATATGAAACCGAAGGGAAAACGTTGTATAAACTATAAACATACATACGAGTAGAAGCCCCCCTAGTATTTCAGATATATATATACATAAATAATATCCAATACTATGAAGATTAATGAAGAAAACTTACATATGTACATAATTGCAATGAGCAGGTTGCAGTTTGAAATTGAAGCAAAATCGGAGGATAGCATTTTATCGATTGGCGTAAGCACTTAAAATTTATATAAAATGACATAAAACTATATATCTATAAGATTTGTGGAATGCACATTTTGGCAAAAGTATTTAAATTTCTCATATGGCTAATTTATTGCTTTTGTAATACTTAGGCACCTGTAGACATACATACATTCCTAAGTACTAATACTAACATAAGAGTCCCTTCCCTACATAAAAATTAACTGGTATTTAACCATTTGCTCCCTTTATGAGTAAGATAACTAAGTGTTGGCGCTTACATATACATACGTACTTATTTCTACGTGCTCGGCCGAGTTTCTCCTCCAATTTGTATTGTGCGTCTTGATGTTGTAGACGGGCCTAGAGTTTTACGCCGGCTAAGAACGGCATACTGTTTTTATGAGCAGCTTCTTTTTCATGGCAGAAATGCAGACGGAGGTTTGCCATTGGCGACCAATTTTTGTTGATGTTATTGGGACATGGAATTGAACCCTGGACCCACAGAGTGGCAGTACGTACAACTAACCACCCGGTTACGATGGCAGCCATTCCTTTCTAAATACAAATCTTCAATGAAAGTAATGGCTAGCTAATCAATGAACTAAACTACTTCAGATATAGTCTCAACAGCTGCAGTGTGGACCTTGCGCTTTCTACGGACTAGGCAAGGCAAAAAAAAGGCCTCACTTTATACCTACTAAGTATTTAAGAAAAATTATTCTATCAAAAAATATTTAACAGTTGGTCGCATTTTTCGTTACTACTCGAACTTCTGCCAATAATTTGTTTCGCATAATAAATGAAACAAAAAAATACCAACTTAAGAGAAGGCTTTTGACTGTTTACATATGTATGTACCTCAATATGATAAACCACCTAAGTCAAGACTTCCGTATGAAGAGGCCATTGCATTAAAAATTGGCAAATAAAGAAACGCACTCAGCAGAAATTTCGTTTTATTAAGTCGTAATATCTTATCTAAGGCTCGTTTTATCGAAGTTACACTGTACTTTTCTCTAAATCGTCTACTAGTTTGTTAAACAAAATTCACTATAACGCCCAGCTCTACCATTTCTATCCAGTCATGACGAGTTTTACTGACGTCTGTCCAAGAGAATTTCGATAACGGCCTTACTTACTTATCAAAAAATCGAGAATGCCTATCGTGGGATATCTGTATGAACAGATGTAATGATGAAAGCAGATTATGCAAAGAAGTATCGATGAGTCTATATTATAGTTTCTTTGTTACAGTTTGGGTCAAACACTTTTCTTAACAGGTTTGCAACTAAATTTTGGATAGTAAATTCCTTCAACGTGTAGCGCGGACATAGGCTATGTCTTGCTCCGCTAGGTGGCGCATGAGTCGAGATATTCAGAAAATCTCTATTTACGATCCGATTTTGATGAAATTAGAAACGTATATTGCGGCTGCCACGAAATTAGTTTTACGAAAAATGAGTTGATGTAAAAAGATATGCTGCAGGTGTGATGAGAAATACCTTAATGAAAAATGGATTCGCCAGATGGCGCCAGAGTCGAGTTTTGCAATTCGTATTTACGGTCAAATTTTGATGAAATTAAAGCGTTGGTGACGCGTTTCTGCGGACCGCTAACTCTCTCTCTGTCGATTCACCATTTTGCTGACGTCATCGTTATATTTTTCGCAATAGTGATGAAAATAAAATTTTCATATTGTACCTATTTGCCGATAAGATGAATCTAAAAGTCGATTTCGGAAAAATATTAAGATTTTCGTGAGCTGGACCGATTTGAAAATACTTAAAACAAAAAAAAAAAAAGTTTTTCAAAAGGTTTTCGTCCCAAAAGGCACCTCAGATATTAGAAGAGTTTAAGCATTTAGAGCCTGTATAAAAATGTTTAAAAATTGTACCAACAGAAATAAAACAAATAGATTTTTTGAAGGTATTTTCAAATCGGTTTAGCTCACGTAGATCTTAATATTTTTCCAAAATATTTTGGCGGGAATCTTGAAATATTATAAATTTTATAATACCGGTAGACAACCGAATTTTTTTTCGTGAGGCACCCTAATTTATATTTCAGCGAGATAAGGAGTTTCTCTTCTTGTAAATTATTAATGAAATGCTCCACTCCCGTTTATATTATTTAATAGTAAATGTAAATCGAATATTTACATTGAATAGCAACAATCCAATTGCGGTAACGAGTAGTAAAAATAAAAATAGAAAATTTTATTGCCGTTTATCCAATTTTATGCAATATATGAAAATAGTTCGAGCCCATACGTTTTATGATTTTATGTACATATTTGCCACACAAAGGTACTACCTACATTACCTCTAAGCCGCAGCGCTCCTTTTACGCTCGATTGACCAGCAGCGACTGGCAACACAACACTTAATTAACATAAAAGAAAAGCAATAAAAATTACAACAAACACTTGCAAACAATTGGGGGCACCATATAGTTAAGCCATTAAACACAAAAGAAATCTAAAATGTACATTTGTACATTGAAAAGTGTTGTTTACTGGCATTCAAAGAGGGGGGCGGCTTAATCAGCTAACAACCGAGAAAACAACAACCTGCAATCAACAATTCGCAATCAATAGTCAACAAACGTTTGCAATTTTATGAGCTT